AACTATCCTTCAACCTTTTGTTTTGTTTTGGCTGATAAAGAGAAACATGAGGATTATTTGTGTGCTAAAATAATTAAGGGGAACAAAATAACCCAAAACAAATTAAAACTCAGAAACACAAATGGTAAGAACTAGTATTAGTAAGGTAAAATGACATAAAACAGAAAATATCAATATAAGCAATACTTTGTTTCTTAGAAGGTCCAATGAAATATATAACTTTCTGTCTTATCAAAAATGTAATTTTTCACCAACCAAAGTTAATGTTAGGTCTTCCTAACATTAGAGAGAAAATGTATCTTTATAATAACATCTGACAAATACATTTGCTATGTAGACAAAATTCCTTGACTAAAATTGACACAAAAAGAAATAGAAAACATAAATACTCTAATATCTACTAAAATCCTGATTTCAGTCTTTAAAGCCTTAACACAAAGAGAATTCTAGATTATTTGTTTCTTTCAAATATTTCAGAAGAAAAATCAACAATTTTAAATAAAGTCTATGAGAAATTGTGAATATGTAAATATTTTCAAATTGCCTTATGAGACTTTCTGTGCTACTCTCATACTAATGCTATGTAAATATATGATTAAAAATAAAAATGAGGGTCTTCTCATTAAGTAGAAAAAAATCATTAATCAAGTATTAGCAAATGAACTCCAGAAAAAAAATAAAGTAGAATATATTTTTAATCATGCAGAAATATATAACCCATGAGAACATGATTGATTTAAAATTCAAATCTAATTATAATATATTTACCATTTTAAAACAAAATGAGAAAAAAATCAAATCAATAAGGTTATCTCCATCAATAGAGAAAGGCACTTTTCAAAACCCAATAATTACTTAAAATACAAATTTTTGTTAATGAAGAACATCTATAAACATTCAAAGTAATAAAGATTAGCATAATGATTGAGTGAACAAAGAAGAAGCAAACATAAATAACAAATAAAAAGAGGTACTACTCTAGATATGGATATAAAAACATTTGCCAAAGGAAATGCAATTTCTTGATAAACAAAGAAAATACCATCTTCACAGATTAGGAAACTCAATGTTATCACCAGTTCTTCAGAAATTCATCTACAGTCAGCACAATTATATTGTTATCTGGTTAGACATTTTTAACCAGTTAGCAAACTGAATATATATATATATATATATTCATATATCTAACAGACCTACAGGATTCTTTTAAAAGAAGATGAAAACTAATATTTTACAACTTATTTCAAGCCTTAAAAGTTACTATCAGTAATAACTACAAGTAGTGTTTAGTGAAAGGATAGACAAGTACATGGAATGGAATAAACTCTGGATATACACATGTGTGTGTTTTCCAGCTAACTTTAGACAATTCAGATAAATCAGAAGGTAAGGCAAGTGTGTTTAAAAAGTCACACTTTTCCGAGTTCTCCCTCAGGCAGGGCTGTGGAAGAGCCATTTAGCAGGTTAGCATGTCTCTCCCTGTGGCTGAGTGAGATGGAGAGTTTCAGTGACTCAGACCCCCACCACCACCCACCCCACCACCACCCACCACCCACCCCCACCCACCACCCATCCCCCACCTCCACCCACCCCCGGAGGAAATCACGCTGACCTGGGAGCTTTCTCAAAGCAGGATCTCTTTTTATTGCATCAGGCAGGTGCTTATATAGGGAGAAAGTGGGGAACTTAGGATGTGGTGAGGTGTACGGGCCAATGATATTTCACCACAGTAACTAGGTAGAGGCAGTCTCAGGTCAGGCCTTGCTGAGTCACTCCTATATGGAAGTTATAGATCAAAGACAGGTTGCCAAATTTTAGCCAGGTTCAGGAAGTTCCACTAGGCCTCGAGTTCTGGCCTTTTTAGGCCCACCAACACTTGGGCTGGACAGTTGTAGGTATCTCCAGATCTGCCCCATAACATACACAAAGTAACATAAAAATGAGTGAATAAAAGTAAATGGTCAAAGTAAAATGTCTGGAATTAACACACAAAGAAAAATTCTCATGACAGTGGCATAGACAGAGATCTCAGGTAGAACACAAGGTATAAATCACAAAAGGTGACAAGTCAAATTAAACTTACAGAGATCCTAAAACCTGTTCTTTAGAGGCCAACAAGAATATTAAAGGCAGTCTATGGTGCCTCTGGTAGTGGATCCGTATTTATCCCTAATGTACAAATGGACTTTGGGTGCCCATTCCACATAGAGGAATATTCTCTCAGCCTAGACACATCACATGGAGGAGGGCCTAGACCCTGCTCCAAACAAATGATGTGATAGACTTTGAAGATCCCCCATAGAAGGTGTCACCCTCCCTGGAGAGCAGAAAGGGGATAGGATGGAGGTTGTGGCAACAAGGGAGGAGAGGAGGGTGAGGGAACTGGGATTGACATGTAAAACAAGCTTGTTTCAAATTTAAAGAAAAAAAAAGAATAAAAAGATATTAAAAGGCAAACCAAAGAAATGCAAAAAAATAGACAATGTGTGTGTGTGTGTGTGTGTGTGTGTGTACACACATATATAATATTGAAGAACTTGTATCTAGAATATGTAAGTAATTTTTACATCTCAATAATTAAATACAACCCAAATAAAAGTGGGTAAAATATTTGAATATAAAACATATAAATTGCCAATAAACTCGTTATGAGAATGCAAGGATACACAATTTCATATCCACTAGCATAGTAAAAGTATAAAACACAACACCTGAGCTGTAGAACACTTGATATGCTGCTACTGGGAATGCCCAATTGTACAATTATTTGGAAGAAAGATTTGTTTATATGACCCATTTTCATATAATGTTCATAATCACAAGTGAGAAAAAATATATTACATCCTGTTTCCATGCAAATAAATTAAAACAGTTTTATTTATGTACTGGTTGACTAGTATTTGAGTATGTGACTGAATGATAGTTCATATACCTTAGCTCAATCTGTCACACACACACACACACACACACACACACACACATTTAATTATTTGATAAATATGCATTTCTAGATGTAGAATATATGGATCAGAAGGGTGAACATGTTAAATGTACATATATTTAAACTCAAAACATATACGTTAACCTCATTATTGTATTTGAATTTCAGTTTATACTTCTGACAATAGTGTGTGAACACTCATTTCTTTCTAACCTTGCTAATTCTTGGGTAAAACTAAATTAACAAATTTTCTTAACCTAAAAGCAAAATATGATATAATTATAATTGTATGCAATTTTCAATTCCTTGCTTACCATTGAAATTCATGGCCTTTGCTAGTATTTATTGTCTATTTTCAGATTTATAATTATTGCCTAATCCTTTGTTGGCATTTGCCATTATTCCTGATAAACAACTGCCTTCAACCCATCCCTTTTCATGAATTTAAAATATATTCTCAACGTTAGCAGCTGTGTGTGTGTGTGTGCATGTGTATTTATCTGTTAAACCAATGTTATAAATTTATACAATACAATTTACTTTTTCATTATTAGCTTCTAATGTCATTCATAAAATATGTTTAATATAAAACTGAATCTTATTCTAGGTATATATGTATATCTCCAATTATTTGAATTTTTCAAATATCAACAACAAAAAGTGACTTTCAGGTAGATTCCAAAGTAATTTTTTACTTAGCTTTCATATTTTATCAGTGTCACATTGTCTCATTATAATTGTATATATTTTACAGTAGTATTAATATTATTTTTAGTTTTAATGATTCTGAATGGTTTACCATGGTTTTATAGTGTACTATTGACACAGTATTTTACAGTGTTTTACAATGGAGTCATACATTAACATATAATTAACATATAACTGAGCTCTCTAATTTTCCTCTGTAACAGACAAATAAGAAAAATTAAAACTTAAATACATAGAACTAATGTCAATTTGAAGAATCAAATAAAATTTACTTAAGACGTATATATGTAGTGGTTCAATTTATAAACTTTAGAATTAATTTTTTAAGTTCAAAAATGTTTTTGTAATGTGTCTATTGATAATATATTTACAATGTTTACATTTCATCTAAGTATAGCTTATCTGTTTAGTAAGTTGAATTTGTACTTAGTAGGATTTAGTAGTTGCCACAGTAGTTCTGCAAATGGCTTCTCAAGTTTATTCTAAGGAATTTTGTTATTCAGAATTACTGTTGACTGAAATCAGTTTTACATTATGAAAATAAAACTATTCTGTGATATGCCAATTTTCTTACTGTTTGGTGTATAAAACTTATTTTTCTTATAATTGCATCTTCCCTATCCCAGATATTGAAACTAATATCATAATCGAAGCATTTTTACTATAGTTACAGTGGTTTCTCAAGTCTTTCATCCCTGTAAGAAATACAGTGGCAGAGTGGTAAAACAGGCAAACATGTCTACCTCAAATAAGCAACTTTCCTCAGTCACGATTCACTGAACTCTGACAGAAGGCTGCCTCAAAATTAAAAGCTATTCTTTATACAGTGTATACATATGAAGTAAAAGTTCTGAACATCTTTCAGTAAATGTTAACTGATTTGAATATTGGACCCAAGGCCTATTATTGAAACTTCTACTAGCTTTGATTATAATAGAAGATGATCTCTCGGAGATGCAGGCACTCATTCACACAGAACTAGTGTCCTTTTACCACTGACCTGCTTCTTTTCCTTTGAGTTTTAAAAATAAGGATTTTTGGATATGAAACATATTCTGTTTTGCTTCGTCTGTGCCAAACACTAAACTTCTATCTGTAGTTTTCCAATGCTGAGTTGGTCATGATAAATCTTAGAAGCTCTTACGGTTACCACCTCCATTATCCCTACTTAGTAGCCAAGACCACATAAGCACAAATTCCCATAGATAATATGGGAATCCTTGAGTATAATCCCAAATCTGATTGCCACCAAATCTGGTATCTTTGTTTTCTAACTGTTCCTTACTTATGTCCCATTCCCAGTGTCTGTCCTAACCTGTCCTTTCACCTTCTCTTTCCCCCATCCATGCAGGCCCATAACCAAGGCGTAGACTAAGAAGTGGAGTCATGCTTCACACGGCCATACCATGCTGGCAGCCATTCCTGGGTCTGGCTATGGTGTTACTCTTCATGGGATCCACCATCGGCTGTCCTGCTCGCTGTGAGTGCTCTGCCCAGAACAAATCTGTTAGCTGCCACCGAAGACGTTTGATTGCCATCCCAGAAGGCATTCCCATTGAGACCAAAATCTTGGACCTCAGTAAAAATAGGTTAAAAAGCATAAACCCTGAAGAATTCATTTCATATCCTCTCTTGGAGGAGATAGACTTGAGTGACAACATCATCACCAATGTGGAGCCTGGAGCATTTAACAACCTCTTTAACTTGCGTTCCCTCCGACTGAAAGGCAATCGTCTTAAGTTGGTACCATTGGGAGTATTCACAGGACTGTCCAACCTCACCAAGCTTGACATTAGTGAAAATAAGATTGTCATTTTGCTGGACTACATGTTCCAGGATTTACATAACCTGAAGTCTCTAGAAGTGGGGGACAATGATTTGGTTTATATATCACACAGGGCCTTCAGCGGACTACTTAGCTTGGAGCAGCTCACTCTGGAGAAGTGCAACTTAACAGCAGTACCAACAGAAGCCCTTTCCCACCTCCGCAGCCTCATCACCCTGCATCTGAAGCATCTTAATATCAACAATATGCCTGTGTATGCCTTTAAAAGATTGTTCCACCTGAAACACCTAGAGATTGACTATTGGCCTTTGCTGGACATGATGCCAGCCAATAGCCTCTATGGTCTCAACCTCACATCCCTTTCCATCACTAACACCAACCTGTCCACTGTCCCCTTCCTTGCCTTTAAACACCTGGTGTACCTGACCCACCTTAACCTCTCCTACAATCCCATCAGCACTATCGAAGCAGGCATGTTTTCTGACCTGATTCGCCTACAAGAGCTTCATATAGTGGGCGCCCAACTCCGCACTATTGAGCCTCACTCCTTCCAAGGGCTCCGCTTCCTCCGTGTACTCAATGTGTCTCAGAACCTGCTGGAAACATTGGAAGAGAATGTCTTCTCCTCCCCTAGGGCTTTGGAGGTCCTGAGCATTAACAACAACCCACTAGCCTGTGACTGCCGACTTCTCTGGCTCCTACAGAGACAACCCACCCTACAATTTGGGGGCCAACAACCCATGTGTGCCGGGCCAGACACCATACGTGAGAGGTCATTTAAGGATTTCCATAGCACTGCTCTTTCTTTTTATTTTACCTGCAAAAAGCCCAAAATTCGTGAAAAAAAGCTACAGCATCTACTAGTGGATGAAGGACAGACGGTCCAGCTGGAGTGCAATGCTGATGGAGATCCACAGCCAGTGATTTCCTGGGTGACACCCCGAAGGCGTTTTATCACTGCCAAGTCCAATGGAAGGGCCACTGTGTTGGGTGATGGTACCTTGGAAATCCGTTTTGCGCAGGATCAAGACAGTGGGTTGTATGTTTGCATTGCTAGCAATGCTGCTGGGAATGACACCTTCACAGCTTCTCTCACTGTAAAGGGATTCACCTCAGACCGCTTCCTTTACGCAAACAGGACCCCAATGTACATGACCGACTCCAATGACACCATTTCCAACGGCACTAATGCCAATACCTTTTCCCTGGACCTTAAAACAATACTGGTATCTACAGCCATGGGCTGTTTCACCTTCCTGGGAGTGGTTTTGTTTTGTTTTCTCCTGCTTTTTGTGTGGAGCCGAGGAAAAGGCAAGCACAAAAACAGCATTGACCTTGAGTATGTGCCCCGAAAAAACAATGGTGCTGTTGTGGAAGGGGAGGTGGCTGGACCCAGGAGGTTCAACATGAAAATGATATAAGGGCCCACCGCATACACTACTGTCTCTGTGTAGCTGTTGGTAATGAGTGAGAGGTATGACATAGTGAATCCCGAGGTTATTAGGCAGCTTCATGCTATCCCTGTGTCAAAGCAAGGTCCATGGAAACAGGAAGACTTCTGAAGGAGGCTGGCCCATTAGAGGCAGGCAGGCATGTGTCAGAGCCCTTCACACAGTGGGACACTAATTGTTTGCATTGCAAATATTGGCATTGTGGGGATCTCAGTAATGAACCTGAACCCTTGGCTCATGCTGATGGACAATTCAACATTTTCTACCACTACAAAAACAAAAGAAAAAAAAATAAAACTAAAAAGAACAACCTACAGTGTAGGCTTTACATATTAAAAGACACATTTGTCTAAAACATACTCTACAGTAAAATTTGTATTTATTATTATCATTTGTTAAAACCTTGCATCATACAATACTGTTGGTTCAACACCAAAAGAGATCAATATATTCTTTTTTTTGAAACATATATGCTGTATATGTTTTAAAGCAATATGAATGAGAGGTTGTGCTTTTAGTTACTCACCAGTATAGATCCAAGTGTGATTTCACCTTCCTTTTACCCACTGATAAACCTGAGATTAGATCCCTGGAGTAACAGGCAGAGATGTGTTGAGATGTGTATGCCTGATGTAGGATGCCAAGAAACAGGACCCAAGTCAAAACTGCTTAACTCTGTTAACTTCTGTTACTATAAATAAAGGCATGTGCCTAGTTTTGATACAGAATGGAATATTTTTTATATGTACACTACCAACCTGGACCAGTTTACTGTAACAGAAGCCTTTGGGTTTCCTCAGAAGGTGGAATATCACTAGATGTACCTGTAAAATGCAAGGTAGGTGTCATTCATAAAAGTAGCTAGCCCTTAGTTTTACTTTCACCACTCACTGCTCATGGGTTAATGGCAAATGGAAAAGGAAGTAATGATGATATATAATTGTTTGTCAATATTCATCAGTAGCTGATACCAATAATTCTGAGGTCCAAAATCTCTCTGGATAAGGAGTTTTCAGAAGTCAGTAAAAATCAGGGTGATTCAAGCACATCATGACAGTGATGCAGCCAATGTTCTTTTTTAAGTGTGTTAGCTGCCGGCCAGACTACAAGTCAAAGGAAACACACAGCACAGGACACACCCAATTTCTCAATTCAAGTACTATATACATAGTATGACCACAATTAGGCAATGTTGGGATGTTTCCTTGCTTCATAATCAAGACTTTTAGTTTCATGTTGTAAACTATGTGACATAGATAAGCAGAATCTGTTTGTGTAAAGTAGTGAAAGAAAAGCCAGTGTGGATTAAAAAAAAAAAAGTTTTGTTCCTTCACTGGGGAAAAGCTACAAAAATGTAATGTTGTATTGACTCTTTCACTTTGTTGACCTGAGCCTATCTGCCCAACTCAGTTGGTGTCAATGTTACCACTCCAAAAACTATATATATATATATATATATATATATATATATATAATCATCAGTGACCGGGTCTAAGGAAACATAGTTCCACTTGGCTGAGTCTTAGATAACTTTCAAAGCATTTATTCAAATGCCCTGAAAAAGTATTGGATACAGATTGTATTCCTTAGATGACATGTATTTAATCATCATACACAAAGTTTGCACAGATTCTGGGATTTCCTTCTTTAGTGTTATGGGTCTGACTCTCAAGAGCATAATTTCTTTAAATGTTTGGAAATATACAGAACTTTAAAATCTGAAAAATTGAAGAACTATTACAATGCCCTCAATTTCTAAAAGGTTCACAGATTGCTTTGCAAACTGGGTGGACAATACATATAAAACCATTTCTCCTTTACCAGGGGTAGGAACTGAGATGATTATCATCATCATCATCATCATTATTATTATTAGAGATTGAATAGTTGCATATTTAAGTTACATTTCATTTAGCAATCCTGATGATTTTCACAAACATTTTAGAAATTCATTTTCCATTTATGGACTTATATCTAAGAACTTGTGTCAACCTATGCTAAATTCTACCAAAATTTCAACTCCAAAAAACATTAAGTGCTATGTTCTTATAGTTAAAATGGAAAAATAGTCTTCTAAAAGAGAACCTACTTCCTTTTAATTTTGAAACACCTTAAAGACTGTGTACTTGGCAAATTGTGTGTACATATATGAGAGGGGGAGAAAGACAGAGATAAGCAATTAACAATATGAAATTTTGCAATTCCATTTTTTGACAAAATTTATAAAAGTTGACCAAAAAAGCTCCTAAGGCAAATGAAATTGGATTTGAGATCATCAATAAAATACTTACTTCAAAGCTTTATATGTTATTCTATCAAGAAAATGCAGAGTAAATTCTCTATTATCTGATCCATAGAATAGTTAAGATATTCCTAAATTACCAATAAGTTGAACAAATGGTACATTCCAGAGCTACTACTTACGAGTTCAAAGGTCTAGGTAAGTGTATAAAGACTCTCAAAAGTTCTGTGTTTACTACATTTTACCTTGAAATTTCTCCAATGGGATTGGAACATGAAGTACCACTTTTCCTACTTAATTGTTAGCATCTTCAAAAATTGGAGTTCCTTGAAACCCCCAAATGGTAAACTTCAGAGTAGCACCACACTGAAATGTTCTTAACCCAATATTTTTAGTAAGATTATAGTTATTGTTAGAATAACTGTTCAGACCATGATTGCATATTTACCAGACGTTCCAGGGGAATTGGCAACTTACTGCATAAATAAATATACTAAAGAATTTTTAAAAAATAGAATGGATATCTAGTTTTCCATTTTCTCACAATTAATGCAAATCATCAGGGTCTGCAAAGCTCTGGCATTCCATTGACTGGGGCTGTCATGTACAGTTCTTTTTATTATTTATTTTATATAACCAAGTCCATTTAAATGAAAACAAACATTTATAGACAATGTTTGGGAATTTGGGCGTCGTTCTTTCCAAACTACTTCCTGCTGGTAAGGGGAGCTTTCATGCGGGATTCTAAGAAGATGCAGAAATCCTGGCTGTAATCTGTAAGGCTGCTTTGTCCAGCTGTTTTGAATGTAGGATCACCTGGTATTCTGTTTCAGGTGGTCTGGCTTGATCAAACCACATTAGTCTGGAAGGAATCCACAGCTTTTCATGTTTTACAAAATGGTTGTGTGAGGTTTTCTTTATGATCATTTCTCTGTGAGATCAAACAAGACCATCATATAGAATAACTGCTCAGACCAATATTGTGGCCTACTCATCCCTTTAGATAATTCCATCTCTGAGTTCCTGCTTTAATGTATCCTATGAAGAAAAACAAGTATTTGGTCCAACATTTTATTCTTAGTTGACCAATAGCCCATATGTTTCTAAGCATTTTCAAAGAAGTACTTGTTCTTTCTAGCATTAAATAGAAGAAAATTCCCTGGCCAAAGCCCTAATACTCCAAGTTGATCCATGGACTCAAATGTTTGTAAACAAATTACTACAACAGATAACTCACCCAAACAATATGGGTTTGCCATGCTGGTAAGCAATTTCTGCTATTCAGAAACCCTAGTATTACTTTTCTTTTCCAGCCTCTTTTCATGTCCTTAGCACTTGTAATCGTGTGCTTTTCAAGTATTTTTAAGTTCTAAAAATACAATCCAGAAATTGTGAAGCCTAAAATCTTTATAAGGACATTGTTAAAACTCTGGGTTTGTTCAGCTTTCTCAGATATTCTGCTTATCAACAACAGCTCTCTTACAATACAGATCTATCCAGAATTTGTTCTTTTCTCACCATTCTGTCAGAGAATCCTTTTACACTGGAGTCTAAAGTCACCATTGTCTGTGACTCTTTAAAAAAAAAAAACAAAAAAAAAAAGGGATTATTTAAATCTCATCTCCACTGAAGCCTGACTTATGTCACTTTCCATTCCTACAGTTGAAACACATATATGTCTGGGTTAGAGGCACAAAAGAGAGGGTGTGATCCTAGAGAAGTAAAATTGCAGAGAGCCCTGTGTAAATTAACTTTTACTTACAGGGTCTTCCTTCATCCCTCTGTCAAATCATTTCTCTTATCGTCGGGGGCTGTGCACAGAACTGTGAAACAACACAGAATGTGTCTCGAGGCTCCACAGAAAAGAAAAAAAATAGATCATTTTCAACTGAGAAGACTCAGACCTGACAGAAAAGACATCAAGAATTTAAAGAAAGGCTGGAGGGAGACACAGGGATCTATTTAAATTCTATTTCCTTTATTGCTCATTTTTATAGTCCTGTCCCAGCTGAAGAAGTATTAGTGATAGTGCTTCTTTTTAAACTTGTATTGCTTCTGCCCTTATCTCCTTCTCTGAGTCCCTACTGTCTGTAGTTCATCTGGGATTTCAAATGGATTCTGTAGGGTATGGACCAATTTAAAAACCAAACAACAACAAAAATTCTTTGGGACCAAAGGGTACCGGTGTATCGTTTTTATTACTGAAATGAACATCTCCTGGTAGAATAATACATCATATGACCAGTTATTTCCATTGACTTTCCTCTATTCAACCCGATTAGTATAACACCCTTAATAGTTTATGATGAAGGCTTTTGGAGTTATTCTGCTTTTATAGGAAAGATTAGGATATAAAGTGTCATTTGACATCTGCTTTTTTTAATTATTTAATTTGGCCAGGTGGCAGAAGGTGTTTCTGGGTACATAAAAAACACTTGATCTGAGTCTCTCTCCCTTTCTACGTTCAAGAGCCGTTCCCATGTTAGCTTCCTCACACGTGAGCCAGAAAAACTGTGATTAATTGGGAAAGAACTCTTCCCAACATAGGCCAACAAGAAGAGAGATGAAAGCTTATTTTCTGTGGTCTTGACTAAGCTGGGGCCTGGGACCTAAGTCTGTGCTTGAAAGGTTAGATAAGAAATGATACCATTAAGTCAAGAATTATTGACAGGCTTTCTGATATAAAATTGGCTTGTCCATTTTAAGAACAGTAAATGTAGCTGCGCATTTCCTCCAGAAT